TGCAGCCAAAAGTCCTCTACCAGCTGGACCGCATCACCCCGACGCAGCTGAAGAAGTTTCTGGAAACCTGCAGGGACAAGTACATGAGGTTGGCATGCCCGCACGGTCACGCGCGCGTCGCTGTGTTGTGGTTGAACGCTTTGTTCCAACGGGCGCCCCGCAGAGCGCAGATGGAGCCGGGCTCGGCGGTGGGGGCCCTGTGCGCCCAGAGCATCGGAGAGCCCGGGACGCAGATGACCCTGAAGACCTTCCACTTCGCCGGCGTGGCGTCCATGAACATCACTCTGGGCGTGCCTCGCATCAAGGAGATCATCAACGCCTCCAAGAACATCAGGTCAGACGCCGAAAGGCTTTTGAGGGAGCGTCGGACGAGGGAAAAGTCGCCACCACCCGGAATTGTCGTCCGACTGGAAGGCAGCGTCTTGAAGGCAGTTAACTCTTGTCTTAAATATCGTTACGTTGCTTCTTTTGGGGCATTTTGATGCCCCCTCACTCAGCACCCCGATCATCACCGCGCATTTGGACGTGGAGGACGACGCTGACTTTGCACGGCTGGTGAAGGGGAGGATCGAGAAAACGCTCCTGGGCGAGGTAACCCAAAGCCGACGCTTACCTCTCAGCGACGGACAAAATAGTGCAGATTTTGTGTTGTTTTTTTTTCCCTTTGCAGATTTCGGAATACATCGAAGAGGTTTTTCTACCAGACGACTGCTTCATCTTGGTCAAGTTGTCCCTGGAGCGCATAAGGTTGCTCCGACTGGAGGTACAATAACTAAGGCACTGATGATGTCACAAGTACAGAGCTTTCTACTTGTCACGGCTTCCGTGGAGTAATTAAAACATTTTTTAAAATTCAGTTTTTGGCCCTTTTCGGGCATGTTTTTTTTTTGGGGGGGGGGGGGTCATTAGCCAGTCACTTTCAAGCCTCCTGGGCATGGCCCGGCATCGTCTGTTTTCAAACGTGACGAAAAGCCCTCTCGTCTTCTCGCACGGTCCCCGGCCGTGACGGTCTCGTTGGCCTTCGTAGGTGAACGCCGAGACTGTACGTTACTCCATCTGCATGTCGAAGCTGCGCGTGAAGCCGGGCGACATCGCTGTGCACGGCGAGGCCGTGGTGTGTGTGTCGCCGCGGGAAAACAACAAAAGCTCCATGTACTACGTGATGCAGTCGCTCAAGGCCGAGCTTCCCAAGGTGAGAACACGCGCAAGCGGCACAGAAACACTCGTCCGGGAAAACACTTCGCAGCAGGAGTGCGAAGGTGAAGGTGAAAGGTTTGTCATAGCGGCAAAAGTCACAGGCTTTTGTTTGTTTTTTTCCTCCTCTGCCCGCCCCACGCGCAAAGGTGGTGGTTCAAGGTATACCCGAGGTCGCCCGTGCCGTCATCCACATCGACGAGCAGAGCAGCAAGCGCAAGTACAAGTTGCTGGTGGAGGGTGACAACTTACGGGCTGTCATGGCAACCCACGGCGTGAACGGAAGCAGGACCACGTCCAACAACACCTACGAGGTGCAAATGAAAAGAAGATGATGCCTTCCACGTGTCTTTGTGTGACTTTTCGCAGCTTCTTTCATATGAGACCGGAGTCTGACCTGAGAACAGAGTCCCCCCCGCAACCCCTTTTTTGAGTTGTGGAGTTTTGATTTCTCACACGCAGGTGGAGAAGACGCTGGGCATTGAGGCGGCCAGGTCGACGATCATCAATGAGATCCAGTACACCATGGTCAACCACGGGATGAGTATCGACCGGCGCCACGTCATGCTTCTCGCCGATCTCATGTCCTACAAGGTGCCGTTCTCTTGCTAGCATTTATGTGTTACACCACGAGCCACTTTAATGGTGCGAGCAGCAGGAAATAAAGTGAAGAATATCGCCTCCAAACATATCGGAAAGGTTTTATAGTGTAAGAGTGACATTGTAACACGTGTAGAGCAAGTGTACTAATGGATGGTCCTCTGACTCCCCAAAATAGGGGGAGATACTTGGCATCACCAGGTTTGGCTTGGCCAAAATGAAGGAGAGCGTCCTCATGCTGGCATCCTTTGAAAAAACGGCCGACCACCTCTTCGACGCCGCCTACTTCGGCCAGAAGGACTCCGTCTGCGGTAGGCTCGTGTTTGATATATTTGTTCTCATCACTTCTCATCAAACTGTTGCGCGGCAACGCCGGGACACTTTTGGTGAAAATTGCCAATGTATCTGCTTCCGTTCTACTCATTAGTTATCTAACTACAGACAAAAACGGCAGGGATGGATTGATGTGCTGCGGGCAATCTGAAGATCCGCTTTACATTCAGCCAATTGCTGGGGAGCTCATTGGGTGGCTAGCGCTTCACAGCGCAGATGGACAATTACCTCAAGCATACGGCGAAAGCCACGAACCAGTTTTGGAAGGCAAAGTAGCGCAATGTTAATGTGATGCCCAAGTGAGCTTTGATCGAATTGTTGTACCGAGCCCAAAAGATGAGAATTGTGTCCGTGTCCCAATACAAATGGAGAAGCACCCGGTTCCCAGACGCACGTTAGCATACGTCGGCATAGGAGCCCCAGTGGCGTCTCGTGTACGTTTTTGTACCGAGAGAAATTGCAATTTGTCACCCAATGACGACGTCTTTCCCCATTTGCAGGCGTGTCCGAGTGCATCATCATGGGCATTCCCATGAACATCGGCACGGGCCTGTTCAAGCTGCTGCAAAAGGCCGACAGGGCCCCCTCCTTGACCAAAAGGCCTCTGCTGTTTGACAACGCCGACTTTCACATCCCTCTCGCCACGTAACGGCCGGCCGGGGCAAGGGAAGAAGACCTGCGACGCCCATTTGTAAGTGCCTGCTTATGTCGCATCATTTCCACCATCATTGGAGAGCAACACTTGCTTGGTTGGTTGGTTTAAAGACACGACATCATGTTACAGTGAGGATTTGACTTTTTTTTATTTTTTTTTTTTATATATAAATCTGATGATTCCCCTCGAGGCACGGACACTACCCAAACTCCTTCGGGTTTCAGTTTGTCGTCTCCAAGAAGAACCGTATCACAGTCAATGTGAAACTGTTTTTCTTCATTTGTCTGCTTGACGCGAATATACAAATGTGTTTTGTTTAATCATGATGCTGCTGTCTTGGTTTTTAGAGTGCATTATTATGGAGTGCTAATTTATTTGATAAACACTCAAAATATAGATTTTGGAGGGGGTGGTGGGGGAGCAGATAAATGGCATTTCCACTCGTTTCAAAGGAGTGTTTTGATTCACGAGCGTGGGGGCGGAAGGAAATGAAACTCAAAACTCGCTCGCTGTTTTTTTTCCTTTATTTCACTGTCGTTTCCATTTCTACTTGAATGGGTGATGAAAGTGGTCAAATGGAATTCTTTCACTTGACATAAACAAAAAATGAGATTGAACTGTGCACTAAAAGCCTCAAAATTATTTTCAGAATTGTTTTTTTTTTCCCACTCCAAAGGCTCATTTGTCTCGTGCAAATAATAAAACACCTGAAATGTGCTTTTGCCTTCCTCGCCGGCCCTTCATTGCCTCTGAACCTTTGCTGAAGAGTCATGTTGTGCCACGCCTCCGCCTTTTTGCAAACGAATGTTATCAGCTCACTTGGTTTAATTTCAATGAATTGAGGGTACATTGTCGAAACCGAGACTAAAACGATACAAAATTCAATTTGAATGCAAAGACAATCTTATAGCATGGCAACAATTTCGGCAACAAAAACCATCGACACGGATCAGGCGAAGCTCAGTTCTGTCGTCATTACACAGTATGACAAAATAGTCGACGACTTTTTGAAATACCCCCAAGAGTACGATACTACGTCTCAGCTGCAACATGAAGCGAACACGACAAGAAACATTCAACCCTGAAGACTCTTCAAAGACCTTCTGGCAGTCACGGACTCGCTGCTGCAAAAGGCCGACAGGGCCCCCTCCTTGACCAAAAGGCCTCTGCTGTTTGACAACGCCGACTTTCACATCCCTCTCGCCACGTAACGGCCGGCCGGGGCAAGGGAAGAAGACCTGCGACGCCCATTTGTAAGTGCCTGCTTATGTCGCATCATTTCCACCATCATTGGAGAGCAACACTTGCTTGGTTGGTTGGTTTAAAGACACGACATCATGTTACAGTGAGGATTTGACTTTTTTTTATTTTTTTTTTTTATATATAAATCTGATGATTCCCCTCGAGGCACGGACACTACCCAAACTCCTTCGGGTTTCAGTTTGTCGTCTCCAAGAAGAACCGTATCACAGTCAATGTGAAACTGTTTTTCTTCATTTGTCTGCTTGACGCGAATATACAAATGTGTTTTGTTTAATCATGATGCTGCTGTCTTGGTTTTTAGAGTGCATTATTATGGAGTGCTAATTTATTTGATAAACACTCAAAATATAGATTTTGGAGGGGGTGGTGGGGGAGCAGATAAATGGCATTTCCACTCGTTTCAAAGGAGTGTTTTGATTCACGAGCGTGGGGGCGGAAGGAAATGAAACTCAAAACTCGCTCGCTGTTTTTTTTCCTTTATTTCACTGTCGTTTCCATTTCTACTTGAATGGGTGATGAAAGTGGTCAAATGGAATTCTTTCACTTGACATAAACAAAAAATGAGATTGAACTGTGCACTAAAAGCCTCAAAATTATTTTCAGAATTGTTTTTTTTTTCCCACTCCAAAGGCTCATTTGTCTCGTGCAAATAATAAAACACCTGAAATGTGCTTTTGCCTTCCTCGCCGGCCCTTCATTGCCTCTGAACCTTTGCTGAAGAGTCATGTTGTGCCACGCCTCCGCCTTTTTGCAAACGAATGTTATCAGCTCACTTGGTTTAATTTCAATGAATTGAGGGTACATTGTCGAAACCGAGACTAAAACGATACAAAATTCAATTTGAATGCAAAGACAATCTTATAGCATGGCAACAATTTCGGCAACAAAAACCATCGACACGGATCAGGCGAAGCTCAGTTCTGTCGTCATTACACAGTATGACAAAATAGTCGACGACTTTTTGAAATACCCCCAAGAGTACGATACTACGTCTCAGCTGCAACATGAAGCGAACACGACAAGAAACATTCAACCCTGAAGACTCTTCAAAGACCTTCTGGCAGTCACGGACTCATCTGGACTACGGCTGAACGGACCCCGTTCTCAGTTCAGACGAGCTTAATTGGAAAATGGCCACTTGGATTTGCCACGACCAGCTCCAAAGTCCCCCCTGTCCAAATCTCCTCCATCTCCCGGCGCCTCGGCACTTGGTGCTCATTTCCCCGAAGAGTCGGAGTTTGCGGCGAGCTCCGTTTGAACGGTGGAGCGCTTTTCCCCGACCTCCCCCGGGGAGCTCTCGCCACGCGACGAAGCGGACGGACCCCCGTCGGCCCCGCGCCGCTTGGGGCCGTCGCTAGAGTCCAACTCGAGGAAGGCCTCTCTGGTTTGCAACTTGATGAAGCGCACGGGCGGCGCCTGGACCTCGGCCCGCTGGCCGGGCTGCCGCGTGCAGCGCGACAGCGCCGAGACGCAGCTCTTCTTGAAGTTCTCGTTCATGAAGGCGTACACGATGGGGTTGTTGAAGCTGTTGAAGAAGCCGACGGCCTGCACCACGGCCACCGTCATGTTGAGCGTCACGTCGTCGTATTTCTTCTCCAGGTCGTCTAAAACAAAGCAAGTCGACATTCAACCCTTTTGCCCGGACGGACGGCACCCGTGGCGAGTTTTTGGCGGGTATTTACAGTATTCGAAGAGCATGTGGACCGTGTGGAAAGGTGCCCAGCAAACGGTGAACAGCAGAACGATGATGATCATCATCTTGACGGCTCTCTTCTTCTTCCTGCGGAGGACAAAGTCGACAATCGGCCTTCAGTCGAGGCTTTTGCCCGCACGAGTGTGAGCCGTGATCACAAAGTCCCTCTGTCGACATCAGGACGGATTCTTCCATGTCAACTCGGTGCGGGCGGCCCACGCACGTCATTCCTACCTGTCCATCTTGACCAGCTCCCGTTGATTCATGGTGTTGAGGACCGACGAGTCGCCCACCCTCTTGCGTATCCACAGCTCAAAGGCGATGCGGGTGTAGAGGAAGAGCATGGCGGCCAGCGGGAGCAGGAACAGGGCCGCCATGATGAAGGTGGTGTACGCCCGCCGGTCGCTCAGCGAGCGCCACATCTCCTGGCAGCACACGTGGTGGCGGTCGTACACAAAGTCGTACTTGACCTGAGCCGCGAAGCGCAGAGATGATGAGAAGCCGCGGAAGCAGCAGCCGCCGGCGCTATTCAAACACGGGCGCGACTTTTGAATGTCGATGGCCTGCAATTTGAGTCCTTTCATCTGACGCTCATTTCCCAAAAGAGGAACGCGAATTGCCGCAGTGGAGTCGAAGCATTTTGCACTCGCACTCGTGACTCACTTTGAGCTGCTGCACAAACAGCATGGGCGAGCCCACCATCACCGAGGCCAGCCACACCAGCCCTGCAACAAACCCCCAAAAAGGACAAGTCGGACCATGGAAAGCCTTCATGTTTCAGGGTTTTCGTAAACAAGCCCTTTTATCTCTTCGTGGCCGTGTTGGATGACGGCGTAATAGGGTGCAATGTTGATCTCCGACCAGCAGAGGGCAAAGTTTTCCCCTTTGACAAGAGGCTTGCGTTGGCAACGTTCTGTTTTGGTGTTTTGCAGCAAAAACATGAAAACAAGTTGAGACCAATCCTTTGATGCCCGCTCATGCTATTTAAGCCCTGTTCAATCGACAACATTGGCTATGCGATCAACCTCCGAGTGATGGCGATCACTTCTCGCCGTCACGTTGGCGTGCGGCCCGACTCGGTGAATCTCGATGCTAAACCCTCACCCTTGCTTAAAACGCTCTCCGAGGTGGAGGGATCAACTTTGAAGTCTAGGAAACGGGAAAGAAAGGCAACGGGAAATACCCAGCATCTTGTACGCTCTCCTGGATGTGGAGCGTCGCCTCATTCGAAGCGGGAAAACGATGCCCAAGTATCTCTCGATGGCGATGCAGGTCATGGTGAGGATGCCCGTCACCACCGCCGTGGTCTGCACGAAGGGAACCGTCTTGCAGACCAGCACGCCTGCAAACAAAGCCCGTGCCGCATCACGTCACTTTGCGCCTGAGTGAGTGCTAATGCCCCCACCCCCCACCCCTCTTGTGCAACGCTGCCGCTGCTCAACAGTGTTCTGTGGGCTCTACCTGACCAAAAATGTCACTTATGCGATCACATGGCGGTGCAAAAGATTTGTGGTTTTGTGCTTCGCCCGACGACAAGATTGCTTGCGTGTCAACTATGTTGAAATTGCCTGAGGTGCTCCTCCTCGAGCACCACCCCAAAAAAGAAAAATTCCAATTAAAAATCACATTTGAAAATAATGTCATGGTTTGATTTAATTTTTTACCACAAAAAATGTTTGCTTCTTTATAGGATCGGAAAATGTGTATTTTGTTTGCTTGTTTTGAGATTTTTTTTTAAATGTGTTTTTCAATGCAAGTCAAATGAACAAAACTTTTTAACCAATTTTCAGGGGGGGAAAACTGACTTTTGGAGGTAAGTGCTTTTCATGTAAAATTTCAAAGTGAAATTGAAGCATGTATCACAAAAAAAATACTTTCACATTTATTAAGATAAGAACCTTTATTTGTCCCACACTGGGAAAATTTGCAGTCTACAGCAGAATTTATAGCAGCAGAAATAAAAAAATATTTGTAAAGTTGTGCAAATAAAATTTGATTATCTCGGATTTAAAAAAATAAATCACACATTGAATAATGGACTGTAGGTTCTATTAAATTTCTTTTGCATGTAGGTCTACAGTTTTAAAAGTGAAATAAAAAACATTGTCTAGTTTTGCTTTTTTGTTCCTTTTGAAAGTTGAACAAGTTAGATTTTTGTTTCGCCGCGAATAATGGGATTTTGCAATTGGAGTTTTATCTCGGGTTGTTTGAACGAAAAAATTTGGAGATGCATGCTTTTATTTTGTATTGGAAAATTACAGTCGATAGAAGAGTTGTACAAGTAATTAAAAAAAAAAAAGTCAACAACTCTGAAAGAAAAGCATGGCACTCGGTCGCTACTGCTGTTGGTGCTGTTGTTGTTTTTTGCCAAGAAGGCCACGCAAGCCCACAGACTGACCTCCGACCCACTGCGAGGTGATGTTCTGCAGCAGCGTGAAGGGCACGCAGAAGAAAGTGATGAGCAGGTCGCTGACGGCCAGCGAGCAGATGAAGACGTCGGTGGCGGTGCGCGCGGCGCGCTTCCTCAGCACCACCGACAGCACCAGGCTGTTGCCGCTCAGCGCCAGCGCGAAGATCAGCGCGTAGATGACCACGAACGCCGTCTTGGCGCCGCGCGGCAGCTCCGCCACGTACACCAGCGGCGGGATCTTGTACGTGCTGATGAACTCCTGCCGGCTCAGGTTGTAGTAGCGCAGCGTCTCGCGCAGCACCTCCGGCGTGATCCTGGGAACCGACGCCGGCCAGGGCTCCGCGGACGGCGCCGACATCGCCGCCGCCGCCGCCTCCTCACCACTGCGCGCGCGGAGATGACGCTTGGCTGGCTGCTCGCGCCGATCCCCGTTCGAGGCAAAAAAAGGACGACGAGGAGGAGGGAGGGAGCATATGCTTCCCCCCCCCCCCAAGCCGGACACAGGTGGCTAAAGTAACGAACAAAAGTACTGATGTCTGAACACCGGTTACTAATTGGACTCCTTCGAGTGAAAAGTAGACTCTTTTAAGAAAACAATTGAATTTTTACCTGAGGAGGCAAAAGTACTCGCACAGTGTACTGATACTTCAAGACCCAGATGAAAATACCACGACTGATTGAGCTCTTTAAAAAGTACAGGTTCTTTTATTTAAAAAAACAAAAAAAGTGTTGCTCCGCTCCGTTATCCTCCTTCACCTCCAGTTCGGTCGTCTTGTCTTGCTCCGCACCTTCTTCGCTGCCTCCTTTTCTTCAACCACCTCCTCCCCATCTTGACCCCCTCCCCCCCTTTTTTTGTGTATGTATTTAGCTCCTCGTGCTCATCTTGTCTCCTCACCTTCCTGCTCCTCCCCTCCGTCCTCCGCATTGTCTTCCTCTGCCGCTCATCGCCACCACCCCCCTTTTTTTTTTTTGCACCTCCTCCTCCTCCCTTAGCTCTTCCCTCCTTGCTCGAGTTTGGACCCGCAACCAAAGCGACGTCTTGCACAAAGCCCGGTCAGCGCATTGTGCGCTCTTTTGTCTCCTCGGTGTCGATGAAGCGGTTGCGAAGGATACGCCATGTCTCTCTTTGCTCTTGTTTCTTAGCGACCGCCAGAACGTCAGACGGCGCGGATCAGTTTTCCAAGCTCAGGTGCATTTGGCCTCATGCTCCTTTTTTATTTATTTTTTTTTGTGATTTAGCACAACAATGTCAAATCCGAAGTAACTCGGCTTTCTCCCTCCAGGCGCCTTCCCCTGCCCCAAATATGTCCGGACAGATGAGCTCGTGCCCAAGCGGGGGTCCCGGCCGGCTCACCCCCGAGCGGAACGAGGCGCCGTCGACGGCGGGCACGCCGAGGTTCGGTGCCCTCAGCCACCACTCTTTCTTCTCCAGGCACAACCCGCACCCGCATCGCGTCAGGCACATTCAAGGTGAGCGAATGGCCAAATGACTTTTTGCTCCCTTTGCCGCGTTTGCTTTTTCACTTAAGTTCCTTCTTGTCCCTTGGCTGTACGAATGAAAAAAATTAAAAATTCAACGTGATAACTTGCAGTTCCTTTCCAAAGTATTGGAACGGCAAGGTCAATTCCCTCGTCGTTGTACACTACCGAAGACATTTGGGTTTTATATTTCGAGGCAAATCTGCGACCAAAGTTTGCTCGTTTCAGCGTTGATTTCTCAAATGGCAATTTGACATATTACGGCGTTAAATGGAAGAAACTGTTCGTACCGTTGAATGCTGACCAGTTATTTTGCAGATGAGCAAAGTTGCCTGCACGTGCACTCGGCTGTACTCTGTGCTGACCTTCACCAACTCCCAACAAAAGAAAAGGACAGATCTGTGAACGGTGTCCCTCCATGGTTTTTTTTTCTGTCTTGAATAAATGTCAAGTTTTTTTAAAATATTTGTTGTCTTGGCTTCCCTGGACAAGACAACTTGGCACCCCAGACGGAACCTCGAGTGGTTGCTTGAGGGGGGAGACGGACGAGAATTGGACTGCGCAACCTTCTTCACCAAAAAAAAAAAACCTGAAGAACTCTTTCCTCGTAAATTCGAGATGGGGGGATTCCCGTCCGGCTCCCTGAAAGCTTCCCCCCGAGGTCTCGACGAGCTCAAACTGTTATTTGAACACGGTAAATTGAATTTCAAAATTCATGATCAATAACGATGGGTGGTGGTAGACTGGCTGAATGAATCGCCTCAAGCCAACGGAGGAGCAGTTTGAAGGGAGGAAGCCCGAGAAACGGCAACTGAGAGGGACTGCGGTAAAGGCCTGGAAATGAATTTCAAAACTTCACACTTATGAGAAAATGAAACGGTGTCTTTGCCCGTCCGGACGGCGGCGCTGCGGTAAACAGAAAACATGAAAGCCAAAAGTGTTGAATGCTCGACGTTTGTCCCTCGAAGTCACGTTGTCCGCACTCAGGTCTCAACGGCAGGCCCGTGTGCACGGTGAGAGATGACTGGTTGGTCAGCTCCTCCTTGTTCCCGCACCCGCTACTCAAGAGTCACGTGCAGAGGCAAGCCGTCGTGCCGGCGTTGGCTTTGACGCCGCATCGGACTCACCTGGCCAGCCAAGCAGGTCATTAGGGAAAAAAAGAAAAAAAGACATTTTCTCATGTTGTGCCTTTTGAAGAATGTCTGTCTTTGCTTGTTTTGGCCCAGCAATGTTTTCAGAAGCCTGGAGAGATGAGCTCAGGGAGCTGGCAGCCAAAGTCGGTCCATCTTCCCAGGCGCAAGAAGGGGAAATCGAGGTACGGAAATGAGCGACTCACTCGGTCCCTCCCCGCTGGCCGACTGAGCGCTTGAGCGAGCAGTTTTGGCAGTGAAAATGGCCCCAAACAAGCTCCGCCCCACCTCTGCAAACCACTCAAGACCAGAGTGGGGCTCTGTGAAATTTACTGAGAGCCCATGTGACAAAAGAACATCTCGAAGACCCCCTGACGCCTCATTCAAACAATCGGCGAGCTCTGCAGGAGTCTGATTACCATCCTGATCATTTTTGAATCACGGGGGAAACATTTCAAACATGCACGTTTGACAGCTGATCTGACATGTTGGTCCCTTCCTGCTCTCCGATGCAGCTCTTCAGCGTGCGTTTTTCATCCGCACGTCGACCCAACTGATCACAATGTTTTGTCGTCGCTCCATCGCAGGCTCAACTGACAGAAGAGCCCGTCCGGCGCCAGACCCGATACTCTGCCCAAACCGGGCGACTGGTCCCTGCATCCGCCAAGTCTCACCCGCGTCGACCTCCTTCCCAGCATCTGGACCACGGCAAACCTTTCCACGATCAAGAACTCATGGTACAGCAAACCCCGTGTCGTCACGGCGATATGCCCGTCCTTGCGAAACCTGTCCCCCCCCCCCCCCCCTTCCGCAGGTACTGGAACTGCTTTGTCAGATCCTTCAGACGGATTCATTGCGGGCGGTCCAGCAGTGGCTCTTGTTGGCCGGCCACAGAGGTGACACTCGCTGCGAAACGAAGGCAACGTGATGTTCTCGGAATCACAAATTCAGAACTCAAAAATCGATCAAGACCAAAGGTGGACTTGCTGCCGAAAACATGAACCAGCATTAAAAAAAAAAAAAAAAATTGTGCATTCTGTATGTGATAGCGAAGTGAATGAAATGAAAACAAATGTCCCAATGCTGCTTATCAATGTTGTCCCCCCTCCACAGAGAAGGAGCTGGTGACGGGGATGCTCAAACGAGTGGACTTGTCGGGCCGCAGCACCTTCTGGCCTCCAGCCCCTTGTCTTTCCACCCCCAGGGGAGGACACCGCGGCGAGCCAGGCAGGCGGCCACCTCGCATGTTTGCACCCTTTTGAGGCCGTCCGGTTTGCATTAAATTAGCTCTCAAGTCCTGTAAAGGCCCATAAATAAAAAGCCCGTGGAAGAGTGGGAACCCTGCAAACGCCCTAACCCCCCCAAAAATGCCATGACCCCTCTAAAACGTCCTAACTCCCCCCAAAACGCCATAACCCTCTAAAACGCCATGACCCCTCTAAAATGTCCTAACTCCCCCCAAAATGCCATGACCCCTCTAAAACGCTCTAACTCCCCCCCCCAAACCCCCACACCACCA